GTGGACCCACCTTTTCCAGGCATATGTGCTCTTGAGTTCTTGGGTATAAGTCACTGTAGGGCCTTTCCATTGCCATTTGCTGCAATTGTGATCATTAGCATCACATCATGAGTATTCATAAGCTTATATAGACCTTGGTAAGAAGGTCAGAATCTAACCTAGGCCAACAGGTTTATTCCACTCTTATCCTGAGCTCTCCACCCTAGGAACTCTCCCCAAACTAGAGCAACATGGCTGGAGGTGCTTGAGATAGACTGAGTACTGAAGTTCTATCAGATGGGTGTCAGCCCTCCTCTCATGGAGGGGATAGACCACATCCCCATTTGTTTTGTATTTCCCCTAGAGGTTTCATCGTTGTCTAACATATAGTAGACACTAAATAGCTGTTAAGTGGAATGACTGACAAACATGGGGAAAAGTGAGGACATGAACAGGAAAGATGGCACAGGGCTCTGGTATGTTCACAAGTGTTATCCTGCTAGATTTCCTACAGAAAGGAGAAGTGGGAGGATATTCTAAGATGTTCTAAGAATGAAGCGTGGGTGGAAGCCAGCAGTAACTCCACCTTCAGAGACCAAATTCAATCTGAAACTTGGGGTGGAGAGAAGAATCAAGGCTGCCTACACTTTTACAATGTTACAGATCCTCTGCTTTGCCAGAATCACATTTGGTTGGATTACATAGGTTTATGTACAATAAATTAAAGGGAATCAACTAGGTCAGTGAAGCTGCTGAGATGGGCCAAGCTTTTCCAAGGGTCACAGGATGGCCCACAATCCTCTGGACTAGAGCCTCCACCTCACCCCAGCACACTGAATCAATGACATGTATCAGACACATAACCTAGTAATGCCAAACCCTAGGCTGAAGTTCCTCTGAGGTCAAGATACAGTCAAATGGATCACAACTTCACCCCGACATCCTTTGTTCAGAGGGAGAAGTGTCTTGAGTGAGAGAACCTTTTTTATTAGCCTGATTCCAATTAAAACGGCTCATAACTTTGTTGAATCGACTGCTGCTCTTAGATTGTAAAATAGCAACCACATTCCAGACTCAGAGTCAATTCCACATTTATTGAGCACCTACTATGTGTTAGGCATTGAGCTAGGCCCTGATCTCTAGAAGCTTCTACTGTAATTGGGTGTGGTGAGGGATGCAACGTGCACATATAAATCCAAGGTAATTTGAGGGAGCACACATTAACAACTGGGAGGAGGGGGTTAGGAAAGGCTTTATTTATGAGGTGTCACCTAACCTGAGCCTTTAGGTATAGGTATAATTGTGTGTGTGTGTGGTGTGTGTGTGTGTGTGTGTGTGTGTGTATGTGTGTGTGTGTGTGTGTGTGTGTGTGTGTGTGGTGTGTGTGAAGAGGGAGTATATTCTAGATATGAGGGACAGACTGTGCAAAGGCAGAGGCAGGAGATAGAATGCCGGTAAATAGCTCATAGGTCAGTTTGGCTGGAATGTTGAGTATGTGAAGGGAGTGATATAAATGAAGTCTGGAAGGTTAAGTTGTAGCTAGATGGAGAGCTGAAATGATAGGCTGAGTTTGTATTTTATCCTAGAAGCAATTGGGGAGCCACTGTAGAGGGTCAGATCTGGGCTTTAGGAATATCATTTTGGCAGCTGTCGGGAGGATGCATTGAAGAAGAGATCCTAAAAACAAGGGAGCCAATAGTAACAGTTCAGGTAAGAAGCAATGTACAGCAGTATAAGTGGAGGTCCAAGAAATATGAAGAAACAGGATTTGCAACTCATCAAGGGAGAGGGAAGAGTCCAGGATAATAATTCCCGAAGTTGCCAACCTGGATGTGATACCTTCAAAAAAAGGGGGGGTGGGATGGAAAAGAAGCAGGTTTAGGGGGAAGATCATGAGTTGCACTGTGGACGTGTTGAGTATGAGATGCATGTGGGTCATCCAGGCAAAGGACAGCATGCAGCTGACAATGCAGGACTGGCAAGAATTATTAGGGCTGGACCTATTGATTTGGAAATCATCTGCATAAAGATGATAACTGAACCCATGAGAGTTGACTAAATCAACAAGGTAGGATTGAGGAAGAAGAGGCTCAGGTACAGAGCTGTGGGAAATACCAAAGCTTTGTGGATGCACCATGGATGATGACTGAGCAAAGGAGACAGAAGAGTGCTTAGGCAGGAAGAATAAGGAATGAACAAGGTCACAGAAGCTAAGGAGAGTATCCAGAAGGTGGCAGCTAGTGGGGGGGAGTGGTTGGTGGAGAGGGGCTGGCAAAATAGATCAAGTAGAATGAGAACTGAGAAAAAGTCAACACATTTTGCACGTAAAAGATTATTGGCTCTCTAGGTAGAGAAAGGGAGAGATGTATTTGGAAATTAATGTGATGTAAAAACAGAAAATATCAGTGCAAATGTTTTTTTAAGAGTTCCTCAGTGACATCAGTTTCAGGAGAGTACTGGGATTGCCAAGGGGCTGAGAAATGATAAAACGGAGGCAACAAAATGTGAAGATGGAAGAAATGAGTTGGGAAAGTAGATGAACTGGGAGGCAAGGATTTCTTCCTCTCTAGACCTGAGGAGAAAGCAGAGTGTATACAGACCATTGTGGTATACTGCATGGAATGCTGGAACATTCGAAGTCAAATTCTAGCTCTGACATTAGCTTTATCACTACGGGCAAGTCTAAAGCTCAGCCTCAATTTTCTCATCCCTTGTAGTACCTACCTCACAGGGTAGCTGTTTGGCTCAGATTAAATAATGTAAGTGCTTTGCAAACTTCGAAGTGTGATAAAAGCATCAGTAGTTATAATACTGAAGAAGTCTAGGAAGAAGCCAAAGTTGATGTGATAAGAAAGGCTATAAGCCAGTCACTGAATTCTGTGCAAAAAGAGTGACTTGGAGTAACTATAACAAGAATCTGGCCTGGGTAATATAGAAGAACGGAGAGACCTTGAAAAGAGGAAAGATCATTGAGTGACGGCAGCATGGAGAGGGCCTGGAAGTGGTGATGAAGAACAAAGAACAGGCCTACTGCCTCCTGACTGTCAGGGAGAATGAGGAAAGCAAGCAACACACTCACATACATTGCATAGGGTTACCATGTGTCTATAAGCAGAAGAAAATGGGAAAAAATGTAAGGACCAGATCTACAAGGGAAGTTTGTTCATTAATACAGGGGTTCCTGAGGGTAATGGAAGAGAAAGGTACCATTGATTGGGAAGAGGCCACTTAGTACTTGTACAAACTTGGAGAGGTCCCTTCTAGCCTTACTATCCTCTGATTCCCCTATGGCTCATTCTGACTGATGAGCTCTAAGGGAAAGGATATCTCTTTTTGTAACATAAATCCTAAAGGTCAGTGTGTTTTGTACCCTGGTGGCAGCTGATGATCACTACTAATCAGCCGTAGGGCTGACCCAAGACAAAAAAGAAAATGTTATCAGGTGACTCAGCTCTTTTCATGGTTGCAAATTGCTTGTAGGGATCTCACGATATGGGCAGTCCTTTCTCTGGTAAAGGTGGTGAGTCCATCATGTCTTCTCCAATTGCGAGTTTTTGGTTCACATCTTCCCATAGATCTCTCATACGGAATTTATCAGGTGGTGTGCTACAGTGCAGAATGCTGAATTTGGGAGTTCCACGCCCTGAGTTCAAATCATGATTCTTACAAGTTAGTAACTGCACAGCATGAGGCAGGTCACTTAACCTTTCTTGGCCTCAGCAGAAGGCTCTCTAAAGTTCCTTCCAGGTCTAGATCTGTAAGTCTATGATCTTACTAATGCACAGGCGGCCTTTTAACATTTAATATTCTATGGCTGTCTGTTTGTTACATCTTGTTCCTGCTACATGCCAGAGCATGGATTTTTCCAGTTGTACCTGGTTTTTACATTTCTCACACACAAGTCATCACTGGTAATATGCTACAATCTACTCATACCCAGTGGGTCCAAATAATACCTGACATTCAACATGAGAAATGCAAGCAGATAATTGGGGGCTAAGACATAATCAGAAATACAACCAGAAATACAACCTTTAAACTGTTTAAACAAAACTGAATCATGTGGCCTGTCTCAGTATAATTCCGTGCTGAAAGTAGTCCCTTGTGTAAAACCCTGTATATAGCTGGCCATGTTCTGTTATGGGTCTGTTTTGGGAGATAACCTAACCTCCAGTATTTGTTAACTCATTTTCTTTTATTTTCTACAGTTAAGGGCAGCATCTGTAGAGCTTCTTTGTATCATTATCATTAAAAAGATTTTAAACGTGGTAAATGAACCTTTGGAAATAACAGTTGGAGGCTCCTATAATCAGACTCAGAAGAGAAACTGCTCCGGGACATAATTCCCTCTTACTCCAAAGGCATGACTTTCTTTGGAAGGCATTTCAGAACCCAAGTGAAATACTAGTGACAGAGAACACAGTTCAAGTATGGGTACACTGGACCACTAAGGTGACAATACAGGCTACAGGCGATGCATGAATCATAGAATCAGTGGTTCCTTTGAAAAGGATATTAAAAATCAGGAAAAACTTGAGGAAAAGACATGAAACTGGTTGTGTGTGAACCATGAAAATGATTCATTCTTTTTTAAAAGGCCAAAAAAATTCTCAAACCTGTTTTTAATTAGAGGATGTACGCCCTTCTAACTACCTAGCTAATCAAAATGTTGGTCTAATGCTTGATTTGCAGCCAAGATGTTACCCCCCACCGCCATCTCATCTCCTGCCCCTTCCCACCCCCAAATCATTAGGACTGAGAAACTGGGAGCAATCGCAACTTACCTTCCACTGATTGGTCATCAAAAATGTGATTGCCTAATACTAACTGCAAGCACTATAATTTGCTATCACTTTACCCACATTACTGAACACTGCAAACAATGACTTTCTCTCTGAAACAATTCCAAGTTCTCTCCTCTTGCATGGATCTGTAAGGCCATACTCCCAGAGTGTCTATTTCATCATCTGTATTCTTATTCTGAGTGTGTCACTGACAAAATATCAGCTTTCTCTGTGAACTGCAGAAAGAGTTGTCATTTATTTAGTAATGATCATCTACACAGATTACCATAAACAAGAAAACTGTAATAAACGGCTTCCCTAGGTTTTTTTTTTTAAACCAACCAGTTTTAGCCAGCTTCTTTGGCTTTTAATACTGTTGTTTACTGTACAGTTTACATTCAATTCTCCATACTGGAACAGGAAAGAGCTTACAATTATGAATTCATAATACATAGTCCTGAGATAAAAGATGTGAAACAAACACAATTAAGAAACAAGTGTTGCAAAAATTGCTGCTCAGTGATACATTGAACAATCAGGAAAGCAGGGAGAAAAACATGTGAAAGCTGGCAATGAGATGGGCAAAGTTTGGACAAGTTGTCCCCAAAATACAGGAACTGTAGGACCTTTGGATACCCTTGCCTTTTAAAGCATGCTGTACTTTGAGGATGACCATCTTCAAAAATTGGGTTCTGTCAACAGCTAGAGAGAAAGAAAAAACAAAAACTTTATCTGAAGGTATAGAAAAAAGTGTGAATTCCTCCAGAGGAAAAGAGGATGCACATTTTAAGTTCATGTCTTTGGGTTGCAGATGCCAAGGCAGGTTTGTGCAATTCTAGCACTCTGATCTGGTTTTCACAGGTGACTCTTACATTTGAGCCATTCACGTTTTTCCAAATGAGCTCATTGACTCACCCATTATCAAGAAGGTGTCCAGACCACGCCTTACAATGCAGAACTCTTTCAGGGTCAGTCCAGTTACAAACTTAGGGCTCCCAGGGATGGAAGGGGATTGGCCTGGGGTATATTGGAGGTAATCCCAAGTGAAACATCCTCTGTTCAAAATCCAGATTTCAAGGCTGCAGCATATTCAGAGAAAATACTTTTTATAAAAAGCATTTTTGTCTGCAGCTCCGACTTAGAGACAACCTCCCTTTTGCTTGCTTATATATTATAATGTAAAATTACTTCACTATGGACCAAGTGCCCTTTCCTTTGGCATTTACTCTAATTACATGATTCAAAGAACCTCTTCTTTCACTTTACCTTGGGAAGAGCTTTTATGTCATCATACTGAACTATGATAATTACCAGCTGGGTTGGAGGATGGCCTCTCTGTCACTGTCCTTGCCCATTCCCCACGGGGACAACAAGGGTGGCAGAATGGAAAGAAGACTGCACTAGGAACTGAGAGCCCTGGATCCAAGTCATTGCTCTGCCACTGACTGACTGTGAAACTGGGCAGCTCACTTGGCAGGGTAAGGGGAGTAAGAGACACGATGCCAGTCATAGGGTTAAGTGACTTGCCCACGGTCACACAGCTAATAAGTGTCTGAGGCCACATTTGAACTCAGGTGCTCCTGACTCCAGGGCCAGTACTCTATCCACTGCACCAGGCTTGCTTCATTTTGAGGGACCTGAATGTTCTCATCAGGAAAATAATTAAGGGGTTGGCTTCAGTAGACCTTTAAGGGCCCTTACACCTTAAAAATTCTAAAAATCCAATGTGGCCATTGTGATACATCTGCAAAAAGAAGAGGTTTCTCTCGATTGTACCAGAAGTCTTTTAAAATTCTGGCTATTCTGTGAGAAAAGACATTTTCTTCCAAGTCATAGTTCTGACCCGAGGACAACTGCATTTTTCAGGCCACGTACTGAAAATACTGCCTAATTATCCAATGAAAATGCCCAGCAACCTGACTAATGATCTAGGATCACATCTAGACAAGCTTTAGATAACCTCTGGGGAACAAACCATCACCTACTTGCAATATTCAAACCAAGTGTCCCATTTGTATACTGAAAGATCTTACTCCAAACATATATGTGTGTATTTAAGAAAGGCTACTTCATTCCTACCTTCTTGATTATTTAACTGAGCTTTATCTTTATAGGATCATAGTCTCAGAGCTAGAAGGGATCTCAGAGACTAGCATCTAGTCTCAAATTTTGATTTTACAGATGAGAAAACTGAGGTCCAGGGAGAGAAAGTCATTTGCCAAAGGTCACATGCGGTGGTTAACACTCAGAGGAAAGATCTGAATTCGGGTCCTCTGACTTCCAAGTCAGGGCACTGTACATGTTGCTTCCCTTTCCTCTGAGCTAAAGAAAATACCCAGAAGGGAGGGCCAAAGGAGAACAAGTGACATGGAACCACTTACCACATTTCCAGCAATGTGACTGATTTGTTTGAAAAAAAAAAAGAAAAGAAAAGAAACAGTGATTTTATTTCTCAGGATATCAGTAATGCCTATGGCTGTAGAGGATGTAATGTTTGAATAACATTTTACAGTTGATTAAGCACTTTTTTCTTAATGCCAACCTTAAGAGCAGGTTCTTGCTTCACATATTTCTGGTGTCAAAGACTACCCCTTAAAGTACTGGCTTCCAGTTACTCATCTCCCTAGATTTGCTCTGACATAATAAAATTGAATACCTGATTTAGGTAAGACCCAGGTACCTATCTACTGATTCAATACACATAAATAAATCCATACGAACTCCCATATTTCCTCTTACACAATGCACATTAAAACCTTAAAAATAATAACAATTAAAATAGTCTGATTTTTTTTCTGAGAAAAAAAATCTTATTATATACAACTCTGTGTGAATTCTTCCACACTATAGGAGATCAAAAAGTTTTATAAAACGAATAATGACCATCCATGAGAATAAAAGAAGTGCACAATAGAAAAGATAGTCCAGTTATCAACTGACATAGGTATCGAAGTGTTTTGCTAATTGTTTCTAGAAGGTAAAACTTGATTACCTGTTGGGGCGCCTCCCCGCTAGAAAGCAAAGTGTGAACACATTTAATTGCTGAGCCAAAGGGAAGACCTTACCTAGAACCTGAAGTGTCAGCTGAGATTAATGACCTTTGTTCCTCACCTAGAGAGTAGGACTAATCCTCCCTGGGTTCCTAATAGTCCTTAATGATTTTTAAATGGAAGCTGCTTGACTCAAAAACCCCATCTTCCCCCTGCATAATTTCAGATGGTAAAAGAAAAGAACATTGAGAGAAAGAAAAAGTTTAAGTTTCCTTAAATCTGAACAGTTGTTTTCAGATTCTGCTGAAAGCTCTAAGAATCACCTGCCCACCTGCCAAAACTATACATTTCAGCCTAGGGCCTCAGTGGAACATCCTCCTTGCCAACATTGGTTCAAGGGAATTTCTCCACCAAAATACTTGAAACAACATAAGGTAGGTAGGTGTTTTATCGACTAGCACAGATGACCTATAAAGCAGGCCTGGAAATCTGTGGCTTTGAATGTGCTTATTAATTAGTTTTCAGATCAATGCAATATATTTCAAGAAGGCAGGCAACTATGAGACATTTTTTTCTTTTTTCTCTCTTTTTCTTTAAGGATCGAAACTCTTTTCAACCAAATTGTCAGCGTCAAGAAACTTTAAATATTTTATAGTAATGTGTAAACCCATGTGATTTAGCTGGGTATGCAGATTAACACTTTAACAAATCAATCATGGTGGGGGAAGTCAGAATGTAGAGAACAGTAAATCAGGTTTAGCCCAGTTCTAGTATGACCATCCAAACAAGTGAAAAACACTAGGAGTGGCTGGTGGTGTTTTACCTTCCAATGGTAAATGTTGGAATAAAAGGATACTAGAAAAAAAAAAGTGGGATGGCTTTTTTTTTGGGGGGGGAGGGTACAGAGAAAGGAAGAAGAATACAAAGACAGACTGAGAAAGATTGAGAAAGAAAATCCTTTGGCCAAAGAACTGATACCTCAGAGAAGAATTTTACAAGAGGGAAATGTAAGATTTTCTGCTTTTGTTGTTAAATAAATCAGGAATTCTGCTTCAGTGCAAATGTGTCACTTGAAGTTTTCTTGTTTGTTTTTTAAAGAAACAATTAAAATGCCTTGCGGAATTTAGCAGGAACAGTTTCCACAGCCTTTAACACTGTTGATAATTTCTTCTTGGAGTTTCTTCCTCTCCTCCTCTTTGGATATCTGCTGTTTCCTTGCTTCCCACCTGGGATTGTTAATATTTGACATACGGCTGCTTTGGGCATGCCACATTTCTGAATAGATGCTCCCAGGGCTGGCGAGGAGACTACTGTGGGTTCCCCGCTCAGCTATTTTACCCTAAAACACAAACAAAACAAATTAGGTCAAATAACTAATAAAAAGTGAACTTACATACCATTTTTCCTGCTAAGCATTTTGCAAGACTTCAGGAAAATATCCCCTTTCCATTTTGTAGGCAGAAAAACTGAGGAGAAGTGGGGTATTCCATGCCAGACCTCCTGGCTACTAGTCTAGTAGAGGGCCAAGTCCTGGGCACCATTTTAATTGAGAAGAAACATGTTCTAAGTGCTGTATTCTGATGAGGAGGTGGGATGGGAAGGGATTTTTAAAAGTTGAAATTTGTACACTTGATCAATAGTTATCCAAATCAAGCCTCTTATCATTTTATAAAACAGGCTTTCCTGTACAGAAAACAGAAATACCCCAAACCTGCACATGAACTTCAAAATGAAAAGATTTCTGCATGATGATTTATTTCTTTTGCTATCTGCCTGCCTTTGTTAACAATGGCTATTAACCTGAACACTACGTAGACCTGGTACAGATTCCAAAGTTTTATCTCTGGTTAATTTGCTTTGTCTTGACAGCCACTAGGCAACATGGTGGGAGACAAGATGGATGTTGTCTCTTTTCTTGCTGCTCCTGGTGCTAAGTGACAGGAACTTTACAAATATGCCTGTAAGAAACAGAAACTTGGGATCTGCCCTGGACCCTTCTGAGTGCAAGCTGGGCACTCCACGAAAGCATGATTTGATATTGCTTTTGAAATTCCTATCCACCCTGAAAACAATGGTCCATGATCTTTTCTCAGTCCAGGAACCACTTTACTGAGATACAAGACTTCATGGATCATTGATCCCCATTGAGTCCTACCCAAGAAAATAAAAAAACAAAAGACAAATACAAAAGCCATGGGAAAGTGATATTTTATCAAAGAGTAAGAACAAAGAGGGCTGTCCTAAAAAACTTTAATTTCTGTCAGAATCATGTTTATAAAATCATAGATTTGGAGCTGGAAAGTACCTCAGAAGCAGTCTGGTCCAAACTTCTCATTTTACAGTTATGGAAACTGAGGCCCAGAGAGGTTGACTTCTCCACTTAAGCAAGGATGTAAACCAAGGTCCTCTGACTCCAAATCCAATGCTTTTCCCCATACTATAAGAAACTGGCCCTCAAATCACCTGAAGGACCCCTGAGAGCCAGGGCTCCTCCAAACATGCCATGAAGTATGTTCCTCCTAATCAACTGAACATATCATCATCTTTAATATTTCAATCTCTGACCTCATCAATCTAGATATCCTCCCTCCAAAGATGCAGATTAGAATCTACTGAAGCATTCTCATTTTGTCAGACCCTGCCCTCCCCAGAAAGCCCACCAAACATGTCACTGATCTTCTGCATTATATAGATACCAATGGAGCCTAAGGGCTGTCCATTGGTTATACCTCACCCTTGCCACATGGCCAGCCCACTTCCTTTTCTGGTCAAACACCTCTCCAATGACATCCTTTCCATCACTACTCCTGTAGAATTCTATGACAGCCTACTCACTCTCATCATGTACCTCTCCACCTTCCTTTGACGAACCACAACTTTCATTCTTTGGAGATTGTATTCAATGACTTTTGGCCATAGAGTATCAAGAGAATACCGATGTAAAAAATATGAACAGACCTCTGTATGAGGAGCAGTTTGAGGGTCATTAAAAGCACTGTATAATTTCTCAATCTAAGTTGATCTACTATTTTAAGTCAATTCTGGGCCCAGTTCGTCACCCATCTATCTACAGGATCTGCCCAAAAGGTTCAACTGCATATAATTATCTGGAGGTCTTCTTTACCTACTTGGGGAGACAGGACAAACTCTTTTGAGTGGCTAAAGTCTCATTAGGAGATGTCACAATGCTCCAAGCTTGATGCAATCAGCACAATGCTAGTCAATCAACACTTCCTGTGTGTGCCAGGCGTTGCACTAAGCATTGGGAACACAAAGAAAGGCAAAAGCTCAGTCCTGAATTCTAGGGACTCACACTCTAATGGAGGAGATAGCTTGCAAACCACTAGTAAATGGGAGGTAATCTCAGGAAGGCCTGAGCAATCCAGGGAGGCCTGGAAAAGGCCTCCTGCAAAAGATGGATTTTGTACTGTCTTACAGGCAGGGAAGCCAGAAGGTGGATATGAGGAAGGAGAACATGCCAGGTATGGAGGACAGCCAGACAAGAGGCCAAGTGGAGCAATGGACTGCCATGCGCAAGGAACAGCAAGAGGGCCAGTGTTGCTACACCCTGGAGTATGTGGAAGGGAACAGAGTATAGCAGTACTAGAAAAGCAAGAAGGGGCAAAGTTGTGAATGGCTTTAAAATCCAAAAAGAATTTCATACTTGATCCTGGAGGTATTAAGGAACTACTGGAGTTTATTAAGTTGGGGTATGTGTGTGGGGGGGTGTGAGAGAGACAGACAGACAGACAGACACGGACACAGACATGGTTAGCCCTTTGCCTTAGGAAGATCCTTCTGGCAACTAAATGGAGAATGGACAGGAGTGGGGAGAGATTTAAGGCAGGGAGACCTATCAGCATGAGGTGAACAGGGCCAGCTGTGTGAGTGGAAGGAAGAAGATGTGTAAGAGAGATGCTGTGAAGAGAGAAATGACAAAGATTTGTGGCCTATTACCAGAAGCACTGGCTAGGTGCAATTTTGGAGTCTTCTCACTAAGTAACTCTTTGGTTCGTACCTCCTGGGAATATCTGAACTTGGTTCATTTTGCCCCACCCAAAATTTCCCTAAGTTTTTAATAGTTTCTCTCTCAAATTATCATATATTTACTTATGCAAATATATAAAAATTACATAAAGAGGTTGCTAGGTGGCATAGCGGATAGAGTGCTAGGCCTGGAGTCGGGAAAACCCAAGTTCAAATCTAGCCTCAGATACAAGCTGTATGACTGAGGATGTCTTTAACCTATGCCTGCCTCAGTTTCCTCAACTGTAAAATGAGGATAATAATAGCACCTACTTCCCAGGGTTGCTGTGAGAATGAAAAGTGCTTAGGACAGTCCCTGGCACATAATGCTTGTTTCCCTCCCCTTCCCTCCTCCTGTACATGTTGTATCCAACTGTGGAGGGATCCTGGTAAAAGCTAAGTCCTCTGAGGCAAACAATGTTTCATTTGTGTTTTTCTATTACTAATACCTAGCACAGTATTTCGCACATAGTAGATACTTAATAAACATTTAACAACTTTAATATTAGCATTGGAGGGGGATTTTAGAAAGCACTTTAGTCCATGGGTTGTTAACCTAGGGTCTGTGAACTTAAAAAGAAAAATTTGAATAACAGTAATTCAATATAATTTGTTTCCTCCAATCTTCTGTATTTATTTTATATATTTAAAAACATTATTCTGAGTAGTTCATAGGCTTCACCAGATGCTTGCCAAAGGAGTTTGTGCCCCAAAAAAGAGCACTCCTGCTCTTGTCCAACACTCTCATTTAAAAATACCACCACCAACACTAACGGCTAGGGTTTTATTGGTTCCCCTCCCCAAATAACCTTTATTTGGTCCCAGGACAAAGCCCTAGGCAACCTATCTGTGACGACCAGGCAACAGCTGAAGGGAGAAAGCCCAAGGATGGGATTTGAGGGACTCATAATCCTACCTTGAATCACACCTCCTTGTGCCCGTGGTCAAATCCCTTCCCCTCTATGGCCTCCTCTGCACAGGCTCTAGACAACAAAGGGGTTTGGAGCAGATGGCATCTAATTCCCCTTCCAGTTCTCAGTATCTGTTGGCAGTCTGGTACCAAATTCCAAAGAGGTATTTAATCAATCCAGTTATTGAAAGTCACATTCAATCCTAGGGTGGACCAGGCTCCCTCCCTGGGCCTCAGTATTCTCATTTGTAAAATGAAGGGGTTGGCCTGGATGGTCACTAGTAAGTCTGGCTACAATCTGGTTCCAACCTACCTTATTCCAACCAAACTTATTTTACATAGGTGGGTTCCTGTCATATGCTCTCTATATACTCTGCCCAAAATGGCTTCCTTACAATGCTCCCCTAACTACGTTCCATCTCAAGCTGTTATCAGCACTCTGGGCCTCAGCTTTGTCAGGAATCACAGTGGATGACTTGAAAACCCATTTCAACTCTGATGTTATAGTTACATATTTATTGTTGTCAGGTCATTTTGGTCGTGTCCAATTCTTCATGACCCCATTTGGGGTTTTCTTGGCAAAGATCCTGGAGTGGTTTGCCATTTCCTTCTCCAGCTCATTTTACAGATGAGGAAACTGAGGCACACAGGGTTAAGTGACTTACCCAGGATCACACAGCTAGTAAGTGTCTGAGGCCACATTTGAACTTGGGAACATGAGTCTTCCTGATTATAAGCCCAGTGTTCTGTCCACTGAGCCACCTAGCTGCCCTTACTGATACATATGATTTTATTCGATTCAAACAAACATTTAGTTGTGGGTTTTTTTTCCAATTAATACAAATCTTATTTTCTCTCTCCCCCAATATCCCTGTGGCTGGAATGCACTCCCTCCTTATCTCCAACTGTTGCAATCTTTAACCTTCTTCAAAGATGAATTCAAGTGCTACCTCCTACATAAGGCCTTGAATACAGAGGTTGTTACATTTTTGTCTTCATATCTATCCTCAGTGCCTGGCACACAGTAGGCACACAAAAGTTGGTTCAACTTGTACCACAGCAACAGCACTATAAAGACAAACAACTTTTAAAAACTCAAGAACTCTGTTCAACATAATAACCAACCAGAACTCCAGAAGACCAGCAATGAAGCATGTCACCCACACCCACACATAGAAGTGACAGACTTAGGATGCAGGTGGAAACATATTTTTTGGACATAGCCAACGCAGGAACTTGTTTTGCTTGACGTTATGTATTTGTTTCAAGAGTTTTGCTATTCTTTTCAGACCTCTCCCTCATTTGGGGGTGGAGTGGGTGTGTCATGATGAGAGACAGAGAGAAAACAGATTTTTATTAATTAAAAAACTAAATGTTTGTTGAATTGAATAAAATCATATATAACTGTAACTTTAGATTTGAAAGGGATCTTCAAGTCACCCACTGGATTGTGGTGAAGTACCAGACTCGAGATAACATGGTTAGTGAGAAGCAGAGTTGCTTGGGATCCATGAGTCCCAAATCCCAGTCCTGTGCTCTTTCCATTGCAGTGCTCATTCCACCACCTGGACATGAGTTCAATAGCTACAGTTGTTCCTGTGAGGAATGAACAAGACTGAGGCCTAGCTATAAGCAAGAGCAGCAAAATAGAGGCTCTACTGCACTGGAAACAGGGAAAATAACCCTGGGGCAAGAGTCATTTTCCACCTCTTTTCCTCACCCAATCTTTACTCTCCTGGCTGCCATTTTGGGATCCTTCAAATTGAAAGGACACTTAGGCACTTCCTTCCAAAGTAAATGTCACTATGATTCCATGCAGTAAAAGACATGGCATGACAGCAGCAATGTGATTGCCTCTAACAATCCAAGAACACAGGAGAAAAAAATTGGAAATTTTCTGAAAATAAGACTCCAGGACAATGCTTCACCATAGCAGTGTGGAGATGACCCTGGATTGTCAAAGGCTATGTTCAACCAAACACAAGCTCTGACTGACCTTATGGAAGCTGGAAATTAATTCAGTTAAATTCAATCAAAATTTATTAAGTGCCTACTAAGTGCTAGGTACTAAGGATGCAAAGACAAAAACAAAATAATATTTGTCCTCAAAGAGCTTAGTGAGTTTAAAGTACACAGATCAGCAAATGCAGCATAAAACAAAGGAGTTTGAAGAGCAAAAGAATACAACTGGGGGATCAAGAAAGGTATCATGTAGATCATGAAATCTGAGCTATTCTTTGAAGGACGTTAGGAATTCTAAGAGACAGAGTGGGGAAGGAATATATTTGAGATATGGAGAACCAATCACCTGTGCAAAGGTATGGAGGTAGAGATGGAATGTTGTATATGGGCACTCTGACTAAACAGAGGCTTCTTAGACTATGTAAAGGGGATTAATCTAACACTTAGAAAGGCGAATAGGAAGGAGATATGGAGGGCTAGAAATGCAAAGCTGAAGATTTGATATCTTATCCTAGATGTAAGAGAGAGCAGTTGAAGATCTTTTTTAGTAGGGGAGTGACATGGTCAGCTATGTTTTTAGCAACATCAATTTGGCAGCTACATGAAGAATGCATTGGAGAGAGGAGAAACTGGAGGCAGGCAGACCAATTAGGAGGCTATTTCCGTAATTCTGGTGAGAGACTGTGTAAGTAGAGAGAAGGGATAGATGGTAGACGTGTTGTGGCTGTAGGATTGACAAGACTTGTCAACTGCTAGGCTACAGAGGATGAGGAAGAGGGAAAAGTCAAGAATGACTCTCAGGTAAGTTTGGAGGACGGATGGGTTGGATGTGATGAGTCGGAGATGCATTTGAAAGACTAAGTGTGAAAAAGTGTGAACTTGCTATTAGGAAGGTTTGCTTTCTGGTTAGGAGAAGCTTAGTGTCACAAGGCTGCCTGCCAGGTGAGGAATTTTTCCAGCCATATCAACTCAAGAAGGTCAGCAGATTATTTTAGTATTAAACCTACTTACCTGTTCTGCTGCTACTAACAAACTAGTTCTGATTTGTAAAAAATTAAAGTATTATATAAAGCCTCAAAGTGGCAAACTAGAGAGGTAAGCATAAGCCTGCTAATCCATGCCAACATGATATGTGTAAGAAAGGCTATAACCACAATATCAGTGTCACTTAAGTGGCAATAATATCAAAGGGATACTTTCCAAGTTTCTAATTTAAAACATTCTGTACAGAGCACCTACTAGACCACACAACCACAAACTGGGGACAGGCAAAGTAGTCCATTTTATAATGAATGGTAATGGTGTTATGATCAAACCAATAAAATGATCTAAGTTCTCAGGTGCACAGATAACAGAAATTGATTGCATATACATATCATGTAACTGAATGCTTCATAGCACATTTTATTGGTGTGAATAAACCACAGTGGCCCATGGACCCCACCAAGTAATTTGATATATAAAAGGTGAGCAAGAATGCTTTCTCTATCTGTATACTCAGGGCTTTGAAAATCATAGGGAATTGATGGGTTTATTTGTTTGATAAAAGGGGAAAATAACAATAGAGAAAGCTGAAATGGAAGGTAGAAAGTGAGTAATGGTAGAAATAGTCCAATAGTAAGATTTTTTTCCCTCCCTTCCTCCATTTACTTATTCCTCGAGAAGGAGACAAGAAAAATGATAATAATTTTCAAAGGTCACCAATCACAACAGTCTTATGCTGATTTTCAGCACAATTAGATGGCACTATCTGAGAGCAATTCTCTCAAAAGAAATGAAACATGCTGTCACTTTTCCTTGCTTTCCCTTACAATGGCTGGGTTTGAAAATGACCATGCTACATGAGGGATAATTTTCTTTTGGGACATCAAGGGTCTAAGGAAAATATATAACATGGCAAAAATGCCAAATGCTGAGCAGCAGGTTTCATTTAGAGCTGAAGAGGAAATGGAGAAATTAATTATTATACACATTCCCAGTAGAAACTGCTTCTATCATCCTGCATTTAATGCTGTCCTGTTTTAAGTTTTGCCTTCAATATCTTGATACACAAAGAGTTATCACATTCTTTATGGGTACAGTTACAAAAAATCAGGGAATCTCAGTATTAAAAGGGACTACAGAGGTCATCTGGTCCCAAGGCCACATCTAAAAAGAAAATGCCAACAGGCAGCTAGGTGGTGCAGGGGATTGAGCACCAGCTCTGAAGTCAGGAGGACCTGAGTTCAAATCTGGCCTCAGACCAAACACCTGACACTAGCTGTGTGACCATGGGTGGGTCACTTAATCCCAATTGCCTAAAAAAAAAAATTGGGGGGGGCAGCTAGGTGGCAGTGGATAGAGCACTGGCCCTGAAGTCAGGAGGACCTGAGTTCAAATTCGACCTCAGACCGAACACTTAACATTTACTACCTGTGTGACCCTGGGCAAGTCACTTAGTCCCAACTGCCTAAAACAAATAAATAAATAATTTAAAAAATGAATGAATGAATGTAAAAAATAAAAATAAAAAGGAAATGCCTCTACTACTTAATTTGCTGCCCAAAAAAGACCTCTCAAAATGGAATTTTGTCATGGTTCAATCCCAAGGAAGGAATTGAGAGACAGCCTGGCATAGTGGAGAGAGCCTTGAAAGTAGCATCAGAGGAACTGGGCTCCAATCCCAACTCTGCTATGCTACTTACTACTCATGTGACACTGCCCAAGTCCCTTAGCTTCTCTGGGCCTCAGCTTCCTCATCTGAAAATTAAATGAAGGGAATGGGTTGAATGATCTCGAAGATCCCTTCTAGCTTTAAATCTCTCATCTTATGAGTTTCACATATTCTACTAGAACTATTTTTAGCTTATGCCTCACCATTAAAACAAACCCCAATGTTCTCAGACGACTAAACTTTGGAAAGTAATAATCTCTCACCTGATCCAGGACAATGATTTCATCTGCATCAATCACTGTTGATAATCTGTGTGCAATGAAAATAGATGTTCTGTGTTTCACTATGTCCCTCATGGCACTAAGGATATTCTGTAAATTTGGAGATGAAGAAAGAAGATAAGATTTAAAGATTAGGTAAACAGTGCATGTATGTGTACACACACACACACACACACACACGCACACACCCTTCTCACATATTTCCTAAAGGAAAGTCAGTCTAAGCATTTAACATTGCAATTAATATTTAACAACTTGGGACAATGACAAATGTCTCAACTAATCTGTGGATAGGAGTAATCACAAGAAGGAAGAAAGGAAGGCCAAACATAAAGACGATAAAGAATAACTCAAAGATTCAAGGCAGATCACATTTCTCTTTTAAAAAAAAAGTATGTATCAAAGATGCTAGAGAGAAAGGAGACTTGCTATCTTTTAGAAAAATCTTGGTCAACTGGCAACACACAGAGCATTGATGATAAACATTCTGTCTATATCTTCTCATCTAGTCAATGAGAATAAGAGTAAAAGATGATGTGTGACCCAAAGTACAGTGCACAAAAAAGCCCACACCAGCCAAAAAGGAAGGGGTAGGGGGAGATGGACGGGGCAGGGCGGCTGAGGCTGCAAAGGGAGATTTCCTTGTCCCTGAACTAAGTGCCAGTAGGAGGGGAGACTAAGACATTGTGGTGGTGGTTTTTTGGTTTTGTTTTTTTAAACACGTTAACTTTCTTTCTAAAACCATTCTGATTACTTGATCTTTCTAGAAAATGCATTGATAGCTTCTGCTTTTAAAGCACAGCTGTATTGTAGAAAAAGCTGGCTCTAAATGTGGCAAAGTAAAGACAAACAAGAAAAATACCTCCCAGATACATAGTCCCCAAGAATCCAAGTGTATTACAAAGTTATAAATTCTGGCCTACTAAATGTGGCTACTCAGAGAAAGGAGTCTGTGTTCTAACAGGAAAGGCAACCCCCAAACAGCTACAACTATGGACCAATGACAAAATGACAGTGAGAGATAATGGGGGAGGAATGGGAAGGAGTGAAAGCATCTCTTGTGTTTTACTTCACTGCCCCGGCGTCCTTACCCCCTGGAATGTTCAGGGTTCTTCACTGGGCTTCTGTTTGTGGTAAGATTCATACTGAGGGCTCCAGTCTCCAGCATACTATCCACTTGAGGAATGACTTATGGTGAGAATTTCAGGGTAACTGAGAGGAGACACATTCAGCAAGGTGGAGAACTCTGGACACTTTTCATATTATAATTTGCAGGCAATTATAACTAACAGGGCACCTAGGTGGTGCAGTGGATAGAGTGCAGGGCCCCGTGTCAGAAGACCTGAGTTGAAATCCGGCCTCAGACACTTACTAGCCTAGCATGACCCTAGACAAGTAAGTCACTTCATCCTGTTTGCCTCAGTTTCTCATCTGGAAAATGAGCCGGAGAAGGAAATGGCAAACTACTCCAGTATCTTTGCCAAGAAAATATCAAATGGGGTCATGAAAAGTCAGACACAATGGAAAACGACTGAACAACAGGCAGCTGACATGGGGATGGCCCTGATCAGGGGTCACTTTAAAGGTACAGTATAACCCTGAGTTTAATAACACATCCTATAATTAAACCAATTCAGATAAACTGTGGACCAAATTTTGTTCACTGAAAATTTATCTCCCTACCTAAAAGCCTGTTCTAACATGGTCAGCCAATAAGATTGGTAGCTTGCTCTATCCCTTAACACCAGATGTTCCCATGTATATTAAATAAGAAGCCAGACAAGTGGGGACAATTTGCAAAACAACATTCACCTATTTTCAGTTCTAGATAAGGAGATTAGTTCATGAAATTACTGTTGCTGCTGAGACTTTTGTATTTAATGCAAGGATGTGGTTATGAAGGCTGATGCAGTTGCCGTGGTAGTGTCATGACATTGGTGTCACAACATCCTGATGTTTCACAACCCTCCCTGTGAAATGAATATAAATTGATAGCAGCACTGCAGGTTACCGTGTACCTGACTTGCATTTTAGTGAGTTGCTCTATGATGAGCAAGAGGCTTTCTGGTGTGCAGTATGTCACAAGCATTTACATGACTTATTTTAATGAGTGTTAAGTGGCAACCAGACACCTCCATATGAGATGGACAAGAGGCTTCTGCCTCAGTAAGCATTGGAGGCAATTCCAACAGCTTTGGGTGAGGCAGGGTTAGGGCTGCAGCATAGGCTGTCACACGGTTCTAACTGGAGACAAGTTTGCAAATGGACTTGACATTCCTATGTCTGGCTCAATACAACTTGGCAATCTTGAAGCCAACCCAAGGAAAAGGCTTGCTTTACTCTGCTCAATGGCACCTCGTACTGACCACTTATACTGGAATGAGATCAAAACCCTAAAGGAATTACAGATACTTTACAGTGAGTAACTCCCAAGGAAAAAAAAGATAAAGCACTAGCACAAAGCAAGTCTTTACAATGTCACCCTAATTTACCTCTTCAGTAATTGAGTCTAATGATGACGTAGCCTCATCATAGAGAATGACAGGGGGGTTCTTCAAAATGGCTCTGGCGATTGCTACCCGCTGCTTTTCTCCTCCTGGCAAAAACAAAAACAAAAATAAAACAAAAAACCTCTTATGGTAGGTAAGGGATGGATACATGTATCACAGCCCCAGAATTTCCATCCATCACCAGAGGACCACCTCAACATTCCCCAGCATGCCTGAATTTAACAACACTGCTCGTTTTTAGTTACAGAATCTAAGTTGTAAATGTGAGGCACTTAGGGAGCACCTCAATTTATAGGAATGTAAATTTTAAGACAGGATTTTCTGTTCCAACAAGTAAGTAAGGAAAGTAGGGAGGGGAGATTACAACTTTGACTTTAGATGACAATGACAGAATAACAAACAGATGAACAGCTTAAGTGTTGTACTAGCAGCCACAAATAACCAGTGGCAGTATTCTCAGAAATATGGACATTATATGGTACTTTAGGTTACAGGAGAAATCCTTGATTATATTATAACAACATGCTACAGATAAAGAATTTCAATCTTAGAGAACTGATAAAACAGGGAATAGATTAAGTAGGATACCTAGAATTTTGAAAAAAAAAATGAAATTTGGAGTTTGGCGCTTTCTGTTTTAAGGCATAAATGTCTGACTAGATCAGACCAATGAGCTACAGGTTCATTTCTGTTTCTGGGAGTCACATAAAACAGTCTTTATAGTAGGAGGATTTTTCTACAATATCCTCAAAGATTAGATATATTTACTGAACATTCCTAACTTCCCTTTAGAAATTTACAATGGATATAGAATCATGTTTTTGCAAAGTTAGAAGAGAGATCCAACCTTCTCATTTTACAGATGATGAAGAAAATTCTGATCCAGAATTGCTCAGTTACAAAACTAGTTATGGCAAGGACTGGACTCAACACCTGTGTCCTGACTATTGGTCCAGGGGTATTTCCACTACATCACAGTAATATACAGTCCTGCCTGTGGACAGCATACTAAGTGTAATTTACTAATTTTTTCTTTTAAGAGCGAAGGGCCTCGGGGTCAACATTCTGAATATGGTACAGTATTGCGGATGTAGGTATAGATGGTAAAAGGGAGTTGCTCGAAAGTACAGTAATGCTAGGAAGTACTTCAAAGAGAAATTTCTAGAGAAAGTCCCTAACAATTTACTTTCCAGTTTCCCATCTATTCATTTTGTTTACAACCACAACACCTGACCACAGCCTGGGACCACCTAGGATAACCAACCAGACTAGCTAAATGAGGGCAGTCCCCACTGACACCACCTACCTTAGTCAAAACATTCTCCAACACACCAAAGCACATTCTATACAATGATTTAGCTTTCCTACCTCCTGCTAGATTCCTTCCTGAATGTCTCATATGCCAACTCTTCTCCAGAATTCTTTTTGGTGGCCGTGTGCAGACTACTGTATATATCCTTCACATTTCCTCTCCCCTCAGAACCCAGCTTTCTCTTATCTCTAGGCAGGAGCTAGCTAAGCTTCTTATTCCATTATTACTACTTTCCAAGGCTCCTTTTCTCCTCAACTCCACTGTGCCCTTCTCTTCATTAGGCTAGTTTGCCTAAGTCCTAAATTACCAAGAATTCATCTCCTCCTTAATAGGAACACTCAAGCAAAGGCTAGAGATGTTGTACAGAGGACTTCTGCATGGCTAAGAAAGCCTGACTAGATAACCTAGAATCATAGGATGTCAAAGCTTGAAAAAATCTTAGAGACCATTTATTACAAATCTTAACTTTTACACAGGTAAAAACTGAGGCCCAGAGAGGAAATTGATCTTTAAGGGCCTTTTCAACTATTAAGATTCTACAACCCTATGAAAGATAAGAGTATGGACTTCTCTTTCTCTTGAAAACAGAAGGGAGAATTTGTCTGAGTTGCATTAAGGCCCACTGGATGTCCAGTGATATGGGAAAGGACATGACTTTATACTTTTCCTCCAGAGATGTGATATTAAAAAAAAACTTCAAAATAATTCCAAGCTAGTATTATAAAGAAAGCAATATAACAAACTTGACAATGCTACACACAAATATCTTTGACCCTCCCTTCACTTACGTCCTACTCCGTGCCTCATTGTGGGGTGGAACTAACTTTGGGTTTCTGCAAACAAGGCCAGTGCAGCTCAAGTACTGAGGCTGAACTGTATGACTGTTATGTCTTGTGTGAGGACCTGCCTAGCTAAATTCAGAAAGGCTCATTACCAGCAGACTACTAGATGATGAATTTTTTCTGCTTCAATAGCTCATAAAGACTAAGACAGGGAAAGGCTATGATCACACCATGATCCTTGAAGTACTCAAGTTAAGTAGATGACTCTACTTATAAAGTTGGTAGCACCTCCCCCAATTCTTCTAGCACCTTACCCTCCAGGGTGAGGGGGGCAGTGTGAGGAGGCGAGGAAGACTATGTTTGTGGACTGCTGCATATATAATGTCAGACTTAAGTATTGGTTAGTTTTGCTGAACTCTTTTTTTCCCTCTTGATACTGATTTCTTATTATAAGAGATGGTTCTCTGGGAAGGGGGAGGGATATAGGGAGAACCATAGATAATCATCTAAAAATAAAGAGATTATCAATAAAAATTTATTTCAAAATGAGACCAAAAAAGGCATTTGCCAAATGCCAAACCAAGTCTTAATTCACTAAATCAAGAAGGAAATGAAAATAATGTTTATTTTAGGCAAAGTACAGCCCAGGCAACAGGTTCAGAAATACAAAGGTCTATAATACAGACAAGAAACAACAAAACAATCTCAATCTCTCTATCACACATGTGCTGTATATATACATATATATTCCCCAACTTAGGAAGAGATAGTGTTTGAAAATTTCATTTTTAAGCTGCATATTCGGATCTTGGTTCACATTGTATTCATGGAAATGGTGCTATAAATAGTCCACAAAAGCTTAATCCATATTGCAGTGGCCAATCAGTCAACAAGCACGAGAAACTCAAACCAAGCTCCAATATACACCCTCAAAGAGTTCACATTCTAATGAGGGAGATGTGTACATAACTGGGTGCACACAAGATGTACGGGTACATGACAAGAAACCTTAGAGGAAACGGCACTAATAGGGGCAGAGGTAGAGAAAAGGGACTAGGAAAGACTCATGTAGAAGGTCGAACTTAGGCCAAGTGGTAAAGAAAGCCTGGATAACTGGAGGCACGGGTAAGGATACTGAGCATTACAGACCCTGGGGTCGGTGCAAAGGGACGGAGAAATAAGATCTAATGGCCTATGCAAGGAATGGCCAGAAGATGGTAAGGGTGAGTAGAAGTGAGCGAAGTGTCAGAAGACTGGAAAGGTAGGAAAGGGACAAGATATAAAGAGATTTTAAGAAGAAATAACTTTATATTTGATTCTAGAGGTAACACAAAGGATGGGTTGGATGGAAAGAGATTTGAGGCAGGGAGACTGATTAGAAGGCTATCTCAATAGTCCAAGACACAAGGTGCTGAGGGCCTGAACTCGGGTGGGGGCAGTAATGAACTGAAGGGGTAGAGTCAAGGATGATAGTAAGGGTGCAATCCTTGGGAGACTGGGAGGATGGCAGTGCCTTCAACAGTAAAATGGAAAACTTTTGGAAGAGGGGAGGCTTTGGGGAAAGGATAACAAGTTCTATTGTAGACATGCTGAATTAAAGATGTTCAAAAGGCAGCTGGTGGTGCAGGATTGTAGCTTATGAGAGACAACACTAGGATTCGCTATATAGCTCAGAGAATCATCTGCATAAAGATAATGGAATCCAAGGGAACTGATGAGATCAACAAGTGAGCCCACATAGAGGGAGAAGAGATGAGGGCCCAGGACTGATCCTTGGAGGCAACCCACAGTCAGTGGGCATGATATGGGGAAAAACAAGCAAAAAACCACTGAGAAGCAACAGCAGTGGATTTGGAGCCAGGGGAGCAGAGTTTTGCCACTGTGTAACTTTAGGCAAATCACGGCCCTCTGTAAAATGAAGGGCTTTTCTACTAGGACTTCGAAGGCTTTTTGACAACTCTAGATACCCTGATCCTACGTAACACAACACTAGCTTGAGCTCTGGGTCCTAGGAGCAAGGTACTATGTAGCAAAGGAAGGAGGAGTTTTTTTCCCCTGTTCCTGAGTACATAACCATCCCCAAGAGAAAATCTAGAAATCAATAGATTTTATCTCTGGAACCTACTTCTCTCAGTGGCTCTTGCTGGCTTAAGCATCCAACTACAATAACCTTGCTCAAGTCTGCCCTTCCCAAAAGGCCATAATACCTCACATTTCTCTACCTCCCCCTTCCCCTTCTGTACACTCAGCTCCTCCTGCCCAATCAAAAACCACACTCACTGAGTACAGTGCCCATAGGTGTCAGAAAGAAAACAATCAGCCTCCATGAGACTGTTTCTTCATTTGTAAAATAGGGATAACAATAATAAAAACTGAAGTATTTAACGCTAACATCGGTATATGATGTTCCATAGGTATTTACATTTTAAGAGGCTGCTTATTAAACAAAATGGATCTCTGGCATAATTTCCAGCTGTGTAACAAAGTGAAATAAACGTGAGAAATGTGGGAGCCAATGGAACCATCCCATAGGCCGGCAAGCCCACCTGGGGAGAGTCTGTCCCTAGGCTTGGTGCCTCAAAGGTGCTGCTGCTGACCTCTGCAGCTTCCTTACACTGCTCCTTCACTTCTGAGCCCAGAGAGTCTCTCTAATTCCAAGTGTTTCATGATGGCTCCTATGGCAATGGCAGTTCCAATGGGTTACTTATAAGTTCAAAGGCTGCCCATACCATGATGACAGGTGCAATGTTTTCCATCAGATCATCATTCTCTTCCCTGCTGCTCTGCTAGGCAAATAACAACTTCAGCTTTCCCTTACTGATTATGTAGCTTATAGGTCAATTAAGAGGTAATGACAGGATCATATCATTAACTGACTCATGGTGTGTGTGTGGGGGGGGGGTAGAGGGGAAGGGCAAGACAGTCTATAATTTCTGAAGAACATATATATTTAACTTTTTTAAAATGTTGAGTTAATTAGTGTTGGTTTTGTGTTTTTGGGATGACCTAAATTCTTGTTTTGAACCCAGTCACATTAACCACCAAAGAGCCAAGAATAAATGATTTTGTTTTGTGTGGTAGGGAGGCAGGGGGGCAATGATGACACTGACAAAAAGAGAGTCTAAAAAGCAGAAAGTTACCAGAAAGCTTGAGCCCTCGTTCCCCAACTTGTGTGTTATATCCATGAGGCATCCGAAGAATAGCATCGTGGATTCCAGCCAATTTTGCCACTGCATAAACCTCCTCAGCTGAAGCATTCATGTTTCCATACAAGAGATTGTAATAGATGGTGTTATGGAAGAGAACAGCATCCTAGGGCAAATAGGGAAAAAATGTTAAGAAATCCATGACACTTAAGGAAAGATACACAAAATACTTGGAATAACAGAGAAACTGCTGGACTGTTCTTTTGGGATATGTTTGTGCTACCTGGGGGCAGAAAATTCTATCTGGCAGGTCTTATTCAAACTATAAAAATGTCAAGCATTTGTCTTGTGATGGACTATATAAAGTCTTTATTAGACGCTTCACTATAGACGACTGAGATAACTAAAGTTGCTTGACTTCAAAAAGGCAAGTATCTGCTTTGACATCTCCTAAATTTTTTTCATCTCCAAAAGGTTGGAAGGCCATCACCAAACAAGGAGAATCACAATCTTCCTATTCTTTTATATAAACAACAATAACTTGAGAAGCATTATATAGTCTTCCTAAGCATCATCATCACCCTAAGGTATGGTTTTAGGTATTTAAAATAGTAATGCTGTCATTAATACTCACACCTGTTATACTGCCATAATTAATGCTCACACTGGAAGGGAATGAACATCTGACCCAGAGACCCAGAAGCCTAACTAAACCCAGTTGTGTCATTTCATCTCTCTAAACTTCATTTTCTCATTTACAAAAAGAGAATAATGCTCCTTACTTCCCCCACACCTCATAAGGTTGTTGTGAGGAAAGTACCATGTGTTAAATAAAATGGGAGCTATTATCTCCAAAGAATTCAAGTTTTAGACACATTTAATATGGTTTTTTTGGTTTTTGGTTTTTGGTTTTTTCTTTTTGGCCAGGCAATGGGGTTAAGTGACTTGTCCAGGGTCACACAGCTAGTAAGTGTTAAGGGTTTGGTCTGAGGCCACATCTGAACTCAGGTCCTCCTGACTCCAGAACCAGTGTTCTATCCACTCTACCACCTAGCTGCCCCCTAAATATATTTTTTTTCAAGATCACTGAAGTAAAATCCACGTAGAGTCCTAAACAACAATAAGATTTGAGGCATATGGATAAAACCAATGAGACCCACATGTGTTAAGTGATTTGTCCAAGATAAGAATCTTCTGATTCTAAGCGCTTATCATGTATAACCAGTGCCATGCTGCTTTCCACCAAAAGCCCATTTCAATACCTCATCATGACATGGTGGCAGTCCTAAGTTCTCTAAAGGTTTTGCCAGCAAACACAGTTTCTGGTGGGTTCTATCAAGTTGGAAAGGTTTCAAACATGGGCATGGTGACAGACTATGTGTTTTGTCATCTGAAGACCTAGTTACACACAGAGAAATTCTTCACCAGAAGGCCAGCCAATCAGATGGTAAGACTTTTTTTGTTTTGGCCACAGAAACTAAAAAAGACTGCCTCCTAAAGCAATGAAGCATTGTAATTTGAGTAAGTGGATGGAGCCTGCACACTGATAAAATTACAAATCTTTTGACCTATCATCTTCAAAAACCATAAATTAATATCCTAGCTCCTTTTTGCTTCTAAGATTCGGAATTTTTCAAAGGTTTTTGTTGCTATCTTTTATTTTTAAATCACCTTCATTTTCTGATATATTATAGCCATCCTTTATAATGAAGAAGTTTTAAAAGGGGGGGGGAGGAAGCAATTCAACAACACTAACCAATATATCCAAGATTTAAAATTATATTGATCTTTCACTTTTGACTCCTAGCTTGGTGAGCTTGACAGAAAGAGTTGCCCAATCCCTATGAGGTTGCCTTTTGTTTTTTTTTTCAGGATCTTAGACTTTTATCTTCTCTATGAATTCTTTCTTGATAAAGAAAAATGTGAAGAACTCTTCCCAAAGCTTTCACAAGCAAGTATACCTCCCTATCTTACCAATGAACTTCAACTTGTGTTCATAGGGGGAGAGAGAAAGTCACAAGATCACAGATTTAGAGTTGGAAAAGATCATCTGGTCCAAGCCTCTCATTTTATAGATGAAGAAACTGAGGCTCAGAGAGGTGGAGAGTCTTGCTCAAGGTCATGCAGCCTGTGTATGTCAGAGGTAGGATGGGAACTTAAATCTTCCTTACTCTAAGTCCAGTACACCATGCACTACAACATACTGCTTCTCCCTACTCTTCACAGAAAAGAAGCTTAGTAAGAACATGGACGATTGCTTTTCTAACTTAATTCTCCACAAAAGTAATATTTTCTTACGTAGAAAACCACAAAGTGGTAGCCGCCAAATTATCTGGCTATCCTAGATTTTCATTATGTCTATAACTGTTCCAAATAAGTTATGACATTTGCTTGGGACTTGGAAATCTTTTTTTTATTTAGCATTTTATTTTTCCCCAATTACATGTAAAAACAATTTTTAACATTCGTTTTAAAAATTTTGAGTTTGGAAATCTTTTCAGATCACTTTTGGTTTTCTATTTTTTTGTCCATGAAATTTGACCTATAATGCAGAACAGTGCCAAGTACCTTAGGACACCCAGTTTTCATCACATTGACTGCTGCTGAACATTTACTCACATAATAGCATCTTATTTTTTTCTCTTTATGATGAATATAAGGAAAGATCACACATTTAAAAGGAAAAATGTACCTGAGGCACCACTCCTACAGATTTCCTTAGGCTCTCCAGGCTGACATCTTGTATATTCTGACCAGCAATATAAATGTTACCATTCTGGGGTTCAAAAAAGCGAAATAGTAATCTCACTATTGTGCTTTTCCTGAAATTGGGAAATAAACAGAAAAGGGGAGATAGTTTAAGTCCAACTGGCATTGGATAGACATTTTCCAAGTGACTGCAATGATGTTATAGTGGAGAAAACAAGTCACGTTGGGAAATCAATGATGCAGAATTTTCTCAAAGTTACCCACCCTGACCCACTACCTCCTACAATGGCCACTTTCTTTCCTGCAGGGACTTCAAATGATACTCCATTCAGGACTTTCTGACCCGCAAGGTATTCAAAATGTACATTATCAAAAGCCACCGAAGCTGTCTGTGGTGTAATCTGAAGGGGAAGTGCCATCTCTTTGTCCTAGCAGGAAAGAGAAAAAAAACAACAACATACCACTTTACCCACTGCTTAGCATCCAACTATGAAGAAAAATTTTCTATTTTACACAGCTAAAAAAATAAAATAACGGGGAAAGAAAAGAGGAAGAGGTAAATAGGCTTTTAAAAGACTCCCTCCCTCTCATGTTCTTCCCCATTAAAGGGCAGAAAAATTCCTCATTGAACACTGTTTCTAAGCAACTTTTTTCCATCGCAAATTCTGCATCATTCATTACAAACAAAAGAAAACCAAGTACATAATACAAAAACTTAAGTCTAAACGAAATGAACTCCAAGCAAGTCCCTTTGCATAAAGCTCCTTCCCAATATGAAAGAAAAGGCTACTATATAGTCCACTTAACTCATCTGGCAAAAAAGAAATTAGTTGGCTGAGCCAGTGAAAAGATGATCTCCCTAGTATAATTCTACTCATAGGATGAGACTTAAACACTTAAAAAGAATAAAGTACTTACTTTAATTTGTGTGTCTACCTTGAGTAGTGTAAACAGAGTGTTCATATCGATGAGTGCTTGTCTAGTCTCTCGGTATACAGTTCCCAGAAAGTTCAGAGGCAGTGAAAGCTGAAAAAGCAGCCCATTCACCATTACAAGATCTCCAACAGTAAAGGACCCTCAAAATAAAAAGAATTTAGAGGAAGAAAAGAAAGAATGAATTTAGTCAGTGACACTTGCCCAGCTGAGAGAAGCTTACTGTCAACTGTTCTAGAATACAGTTCAAAGCACAGTAAACTGGCAAACTCCTGGCCTATTCATATTTCCAAGTCTATGACTTACATTCAGCAACCATATGAACGCCCTACTATATGCACATTATTGCGCCCTAGCACAACAGTAGAGATTACATACAGAGATAATTAAGACTAGGTTGCTGTACTCCTAGAAGTTATAGGATAATTTTGTGTAGGTTAAATAGAAGACAAAATAGTTTATCATTCAAATATTATAAAACATAAAGTTATGGGAGAGATTGGGGCAAAGAGAGAAATAAAATCCTTTTCTTTTCTCCAAAAGACATAATTCAGGCATTGTTGCCTGGCATATCAGTAAGCTAGCAACACATTCAGGAACCGTAAGAACATGAGGAAGTGCTAAAGATCAGTGGTAAAGTCTTAGTTTATTTATGACTTGAACTCATGTTTGGGAATGACATACCTACTATCAAGTTTATAACAAATGAACGAAATGATGGGGATAAAGAGTACTTGCAAGAAACCTTGAAAACAGGGAAAATGAAACAGAGAAAGATGTCCAGGACTCAGAGAAAAAGCATTACTTATCTTTTATGGTGCCCCATTTAAAAAATTAGTTGTTATTGACTCCTTTGTTTTGACCATGGCCCATTTTGAATCTTATGATCTAATTATCAAATTCCATAACCTGGCAGGCCAAGAGGATAAATGAGAAACCTTGGCAGTTCATAAAAAACTCTTGTCACATAAGACCCGGATGGTATAGACACACAACACAAACAGTAAGGCCAGCTAATAGTGAAATCAATGCCCCTCTAATGTAGTAGAGGATGTAGTATTAGATTTTTTAAAAAGTTGTTAAAAAGAAAAATCTGAATTTTTAATGCTTTGTGTATTAAAATATATATCAATAGCAATAAAGATCCTACTATCTAAACTGATGCATCAATACCACAAAAAAAAAGCTGTTAAAGGAAAAACATCATAAATAATCAGGAAAACATTCCATTTCAACCAAGAAAAATTCCCCAACTATATTAAGGTTGCTCTTTGTTACATGCATTTCACAGTCAACAATGACATATGTAGCCGTTATATTTGTCTTTGTTCATTAAGGTAAAAAACAGAAGATAGAAGGTAAAGGTATCCATTACCTGCCATAATTCCATGACTGGCAAGAACCATTATTGTTGTTAGGCCAACACTGAAAATAGCATTTTGTCCAAAGTTAAGCATAGCCAGGGTAGAAGTGCTCTTCAGTGAGGCTGTCTCATAAGACTTCAAGAATCCATCATATCTCTGTGCTTCATATTTTTCATTATTAAAATACTACAGGACATATAAGGACAATTACCTTGAGAAAGAGCATATATGCATCCAACTGCCATATCAGCAAATGCAATTTGCAATCTGTATTCTGAAATCCTTGGGACACTTGCTCAATCACTGACTTCACCAGATAGAACACAATGCTATACTTTCCCTCACTTGATGAGCCTAACTTTAACCACTGTTACTAGCTGTTCCTGCATGTTATCATAGGTACACTTTCAAGATGATCTTTATAGGCCAGTAGATGTAAAAAACTCTGGCTCTTTAACATAGAGAACAGCATTTGAAAGATGCTTGAAGAACTAGCTACGTTTTCATTCTGAATCAAGTTGGTCATCATACTTTTATCACTTAGAAATTCATTTAAAAGGTGAAATTTTAAGATGGCGCCAAACTAAAATAAGGTACTCTCTAAGGAAGAGGCAACTTTCATCAAAATGATTATTCCACCACCCTCAATTGGTATTCTACAACATGCCTTGAAAATCAAGAAGCTATCTGACTTGCACTAGGTCTTAGTAATAGTGTTAAAAGTAAAGAAAAGTATAAATTCGTGCATTACCTTCACAGTTTCATAGTTCAGCAGCGAGTCTATGGCAGCATTACCTGCATCATTATCTGCCTTGTTCATTTCTATTCTAAATTTAGTTCTGTAAAACAAAAATGGGAAAAGCCATGAACAATCTGTTCCACCGAAGGAACATATCTCTAAATCCCAACTGGCTTCTGGGGCATAGCTTACCTCCACCGTGTGACTGCAATTGTGTAAGCTGTGTATGCACTCAGTGTTCCCAAGGTGACAAGTGCAAACTGGGCACCACATTTGTAATACTGTGGGAGAAAAAGAGAAACAAGAAATAGGCACTGTTCCTTGTAGAAAACAAACTCACTTCCTGTCAAGATGACTGTGTCTGAACAGGAGGCAGGCTGCTGAACTCCTGTATACCTACTCCAGCAAAATCCTGAACTTCACACCAGATCAAGTAATGACCAAGAAATCCAAAGGGAAATGACAGTGATTTCTTCTGCTCTAATACTATTTAAAAAAAAAGTCAGTCAGAAGCCTGAGGGCAATATTAAAGAGAAGGAACTCTAGTAAAGCAAGAACCAACCCAATCAGAGATGGCCAGGGACAACTCAGCAGTAGCACCTGCAACACTCTGAATCCTGAGGCAGCAGTCAGCGACTAGCCTGGTGCTGCTGAGCTCAGTGCCTCTGTACTCAGACCAGGAGAATAAAGGCCCAGGGACTCTGATGTCTCTATTTGGGGTTTTCTTGGCAAGGATACTAGAGGGAAAAAGTGGAAGGAGAAAAAAAACAGATTAAAAGAGAAAGTGGTAAACTTTACATAAGAAATAGAACCCCTAAAAACTAGACTAGACCAAATAGAAATCAATGACTCCATGAGAGTAAAAAATATTAGAACAAAATCAAAAGATTAGAGAAAATAGAAGAAAACATAAGATATATGTCATTAAAAACAAATTACCTTGTAAACTAGTTAAGGAGAGGATATTTTAAAATTATTTAAAAACCATGATATCCCCTTCCTCCTCTCCCCTCAAAAAAAGTCTGCACACTCTATTTCAAGAAATCACAAAAGAAAACTGTCCAGTTCTACTAAAACCAGAGGGGCAAAGTAAAGACAGAAAGAATCCACTGAGCATCTCCTGAAAGGCATGCCAAAAGGAAAAGTCCCAGAAATGTCACAGCCAAAATTCAGAGCTCCCACATGAAAGAAAAAAATACTTCAGGCATTTTAAGAAAGGAGTAATTCAAGTAGCAAGGAACTTCGGTCAGGACTACACAAGACGTGGGGATTTCCTTAAAAAAACAAACCAAAAACCCAAGAGATCTTGGAATACAATATTCCAAAAGGCAAAAGTTAAAGGCCTACTACCAGGAATAACTTACCTGAAAAACTGAGTATAATCCTATAGCAAAAGAATGGATCTTTAATAGAACAGAGGACTTGTAAACATTCTTGATAAAAAGACTAGAGATGAATAGAAACTCTGAAATACAAATACAAGAGTCCAGAAAAACCTAGAAAATAGGCAAATTTATTTGAGCAATGAGAAACTTTTTTATGATGATGTGCTAATATTCTAGTAGAGGGAGAAGAAACAAGGGTCCCTTCAGAACTTTAATGTCTTCAAAGGATACTGAGGGAGTTAAATAAGAAACAGACGTCTTATAAGGTGGATTGGTTCTGTTCTGAGGGTTTGAAGAGGGGAAGAGAAGAGAAGAGAAGGTAAAAGAAGAAAGATATTAATGTAGAAAGGAGGAAGGAAGAGGATCTTGCTATTTCTTATAACTGCCAGTACTACATGATAATATATAAACATGGAGGAAAGAGTGGGGGTAATGGGCATTAGCTGTATCTCACTCCTCTAAAACTGAAAAAGGAGAGCTGAAAACACAAGAATTCAGCGGGGAAATATAGCAAACTCAACTGGAAAACAATCCAAGATGGGGGGTGGGGTGGGCAGGGGAAAGGAAGCAGGAACCAGAAAAAAAGATAATACCAGTGAGGAAACAGTTACAAGCAAAACAAGCCTACTGATTCTAAAGAAGGGATTGAGGGGAGGAAGGGGCCCCACACACACTGCAGGGGAAGAAAGACAACTATAATTTAAGAGGGTGCCTTAGATTGCCTCTTAGACAACTGGAAAATGGCTGAACAAATGGTAATATATAAATGTAAAGGAATATTATTCTACCATAAGAAGTGGCAAAGGAGGTGAGTGCAGAAAATTCTACAATGGACTGACTACAAACTGACAAAAAGAAGTAAGCATAGCCAGATTCATACAAGAACAACACTGTAAAGAAAAACAACTTCTCAAGACTTTCAAATTCTGGTCAATGGAATGATCAACCCTTTCTCCAGAGTACCTATGATGAAGCAGGTTATCCACCTGTTTTACAGAGAGGTGATGGAGACAAGATGCAGAGATGCTCGTTTTTGGACACGGCTACTACTGTGGATTCATTTTGTTTGACTATGCTTAGTTATGACAAGGATTTTTTTCTTTCTTCCTTTTTTTTCTTCATGAAGTTAGTTCATGAGTAGGAGTGAGGGCAGAGGAAACAGGTGGCAGCACGTTGGGGAGGTTAGCACAGTGATGACCCCCAAAAGGGGGCCATTGCAACACTGTTTTAAAAAAGCACTAAAGAGAATAGAAGGAAGTTCAGAAAGAAGTACAGATAAGCAGGACAGTTTTGAAAGTAATATGCAGAATTTATTACATTTTTTTAAAAAATAGGATTCATACAAATTCATCTTTTTGTATTCTGCTGTATATGTGAAAATGTTCTTTTTTGGTTTAAGTTCAGAATAAAAAATAAAATTAAAAACACCCATTTTCCAACTGCAACTGAATAAAATCATTTTAATAAAAATTATGTTAAGAGGAAGATCTAAAACTGAAAAACTACAAATAAATCCAAAGCAACACCTAAAGAAATTACTGTAGGTAAAAAAAAAAAGTTCCCTCATGTAGGCTGAGAATTGATTAGAAGAGTAAAAAAGACTGAATGTAGAAAATTAGACAGCTATTTCAATGATCACAAACTGTGCCTTTACACAAAAGCCCATCTTTCCACTACCAATATTCTCCTGGTGCTGCTATATCGCTGAGAATCATGGAATACCACGCTCTCTAAAGAATCAAATTTGTGGGTGACCCCAAGGGCAATAGAAAGATTTATGATGACTCTAAGTAGGCTATGGCATGCTATCAATGATGATCTGTTTGGGAAAAGTGGCATGAAAGACACTGTTAATGACATGTATAACCAGAAAAGCTGGCTGGTCACGTACGGTGAGTGAAGGATAACAGATGGACAATCCAAGAGCTGCACTGGCACCTAAAAAATATTAAAAGAGCCAGAGGAAGGCCTCTCAAGGCACATTAGGTGGATCCTCACAGAATGAGGAGGCAGGGATGAGCTGCAACCTTCACCAATGCAGAAAAATTCCATGTATGCCTGACAAGGGGATGACCATCTTTCTAACTGCCATGGTTTCCAACAGGCCTGCACAACCTACTGCCCAAGGGCCGCTTCGGCGGGCTGAAAGCAGCTCTTGGGCCATATGTTGTGCAGGCCTGTTGGAAACTTTGGGGTTATCCTCAACTCCTCACCCTCCCTCACCCTTCATATCGAAACCTGGCGGATTTGACTTCTGCAATGTCATAGTATCTATCCCTTTCTCTCTACTCACATCACAACCATTGTAGTTCAGTTCAGGTCTCATCATTTCTTGCCTGGACTATTGCAACAGCCTTCTAATTGATCATAGCCATCAAATCTATATTTCTAAAGTACATGCCTGACCATGCTACTCCTCCCCTGATATAGCTCCAATGGCTCCCAATTGCCACCAAGATAAAATATAAATGCCTCTGCTTTACATTTAAAACCCTTCACAATCTAGCTCCAGGCAGCACTAGCTAGAGAGAGCATGGTGGCACAGTGGCTAGAATGCTGGGCCTGTAGTCACTAAAAGACTTGAGTTCAAATCCCACCTCAGACACTTCCTAGCTGTGTGAATGACCCTGGGCAAGGCATTTTAACCTGTCTGCCTCAGTTTCCTCAACTGTAAAATGGGAATAATAGTAACATATATGTGCCAGGTTCTTGAGACCTAAGGTACAAACTCTCCCTGGAGTTCCCTAGTGACTACTCACATAATGCTCCCACTCTGAAATTTGTCACATCCTGTTACCATCTCAGCATGGACACCCAAGGCAATATCTGTTTAAACATCCTCAAAGACAAGTGGTCAGCCCTGTATGGCGTCAGGACCATCCTACTATCTATCCAGACCCTGCTGGGAGAACCAACCTTGACAGCCCATTGAACATGCATATAACTGTTAAGCTCTGGACAAATCTCACAGGCTTTAAAAAGAACCTGGTGGAAACCCACGTCAAGCCCTGCCTTTGGCTGCCCAGCCTCTCTTCATTGTGGGGGTGGGGTCTGTCTTTTCCCCTTCCTCATGACCTCTCTTCTCCCTCTTCTCTCTTACGTACAGGACTCAGTATCATAAACTGTTTTCTTTTTCTTCTGATCTTCTTAAACTAAGTCTCCAGGGCAGCCCTCATCATTAATGTATATTGTTTTCTTAAAAGCTAAAAAAACATTCTGTTGATCAGTTACTGACTGATCTATATTTACTTTTCTGTGTATGTTACTCAGGTCCCCTCCCCGACACCAAACAGAACATCAGACTCTTTTAAGGGCAGGAATTGGTTTTTCTGACTTGATCCCTAATGCACATAGTTTTTCATAAAATTTGTTGAACTGAATTTAATTACTACATTGATTTTGATAATAATGTAATGAAATAAACATAAACAAAAAATTACTTCGAAGTACAAAATCTTTAGCTCTGAAATATTCAGTATGCCTAAATGCTACATAATGGCCTCAGAGGAGAGTTGAGAAAAGATATTTTCCTGCCTTCATTGCTGAAATGGGGGGCTATGGCTATAGAATATTATATATACTGTCAGACATAAGATGTGGTGGTTGGTTTTGCTGAACTTTTTCAAATCTCTGTTACAATAGGAAAGCTCAATGACTAGGGGAAAAGAAGAGGGTTATACTAAGAAATGAATATGCTATAAAAAGAAAAGGCATAAGTTAAACAAAAAATAGAAATATTCAGCTTGCTAAAAAATGCTATGAAGAGAAGCTTAGAAATTCTAAAATGAATCAAATCCTATTATTCCAAAAGATTTTAATCTTATTTTGATCTGACCTTTTTTCAATACCATTCATTTATGAAAATATCCCTTCTACCCAGAAAGCCAATCCCTATAACAAATATTTAAAAAGAAAGATTTTTAAAAAGCGATTCAGTAAAATTAACCAACTTATAGTTCTATATGGCTTATAATATATGCAATATCCCACAGAGGTCCTTGACCTCTGCAACAAAGGGATGAAGGTTATACCCCCACACTTCAAGAAATATTTGATTTAACAAAATTAACAACAAAATAAGTTAGATAATCTACTGGAGTTTGTGGTAATAAAACAGGACCTGTATACAAATGAAATTATTCTTTAGTCATAAGGGAGCACTTGGCTTTTAAACCTGTAAGCATTGAATAGCATATGAACCTGAAACAGTGAATAACTACTAAAGAGACTATATCTGATTTGGAAATAACAGTTTTTGGTATGAGTGAAGTTAGCACTTACCAAAATCCCACTGACAAGGGTCACTTCAAACATGATGGGAAGAAGATTAAATACTAAAGCACTCAGGACAAAACTGATACCCCTTGTTCCTCTGTCAATAGCCTTTGACAGAGCTCCTGTCTGTCTGCTCAGGTGGAAGCCCAGATCCAAGTTGTGAAGGTGGAGAAAGACATTCCTGGCTATTCTTCTTATGGAATTTTGGGCCACTTTACCAAATACTGCATTTCGAACTTCATTAAAAAGGGCAGCTCCGGCTCTTGACACACCATCTAAAAAAATATTGAAAACAAAAAATTATAAGGAAGGAAACATAAAATGCAAACACCCATGATAAGGATATTCTTATTCTGAACTTTCCATATTGTTGGCAGGGACACTGGAAGAGTACTAAGAACTAATGTACAGTTAGCACATTAATTAACTGGGTGGAACTAAGATTATAGATTTTACCTAACAATCCATAAATAAAAATTTACTTCACTGTGGAAGGAATCTTAAAGGGGCATTTATTATTGGAAGTTTTTGTTGTGATTTATACTTTGTTCTAAGACTTGAAAAATATAACTCAGGCTGCAGAATCTGGGAATAGATATTAATTAACATGAGGTTTAAAAACTAAACAAAACCACCCAAAAGAATAATAAACACATTAAACGCTAAGTTGTGTTAATAGTGAAAAGGTTATGTCAGCTCATCTATGACAGACTTCTTCCAGAAGAAAATTAACACCTGTAGACAGATGAAAGAACACTTACAGCCAATCAGAACTGCTGTTGCCATGGTTGCAACTGTATTTGGTGCATCACTCAAGTTTAACATGTCTCCTGACATCTGGTTGAGGTTGTCGACTGCATATTTAAACATGAAGGGAACTACTATATTCATGGCCTTAAAAAAAAAAAAGCAATTATCTATACTGTGCTGAAATATTTATTCATAAATGCATAAATATTTACCTTATATTAGTGCCTGTCATCTTATTTGTAACTTAACCACTCAATGACAGTAGGACAGTTATATCAGAAAACAATACTTAAGATTGGGAGCAGTCACCTCAGAGATTGTACTTCCCACTGACCCCAATCTGTAATATTCACTTATAATGCTATGAAAATGATTAACTGTCACTTCCTCCATAAAGACTTCCCAGTTCACCCTAACCAGAAGTGATCGATACGATCACAGGATTTAGAGCTAGAAGGAGCCTTGGAGATCACCTTAGTCCAATCTTTTCATTTTATAGTTGGGCAGCTAAAGCCCAGAGAAGTTAAGTGATTTTCCCCCAAAATCATATTGGTAGTAACTCTTCCTCCTATCATTCTTCATTTGTACCATTCTTATCATACTGGTCCAAGTCAATAAACATTTAGTAAGTGCCTACTACATTCCAGGCACTATGCTAAGCACTGAGGATAAAAAGACCTATCCTCTGCTCTCAGGGAACTCACAGTCTAATGGACTACCTTGTATTGCCTTTTCCTGTAGATATCTGTGTACATCTTTCTGCCCTGATGGACTACAAGCTCCCCAAGGGCAGGGTATCCAAGTTTTGTTGAGAGGCAGCTATGGCATATGACCTCTGACTTAGTCAAAGGTTCTGGGTTCCAGCCCTGGATCTCTTCTACCCCTGTGGCTTTTGGCAAATCTCTTCCCCTCTCAGGGCTTTCCCAGATAGACAGAGCAAGCAAACATTTAAGTGAGCACTTACTACGTGCCAGGCACCGTGCTAGTGCTGAGGATACAAAAACAAGCAACCAAGACAGTCTGGTACCCTCGAGAAGCTTACATTCTAATAGAGAGCTGAAAGCGAGGGAGTGAGTATCCATATGTGGGAAAAGGCAGCTGTCAAGAAATCCAGAGAGTAAGTTGAGGCATTGTAAAATGGGAAGATAGGACTAGACAACTTCAAAGGTTTCTTCTAATTCCTATGGTGATATGACTTTAACTTCCTTGAGTTCTTTTAACAAGGTATTCTTAATCCTCTAAGTATCAAGCACCATTCCCTGTACGTGTAGATCCATTAATGTTTCTGAATGAAAAATTGAAAACAAAACTACCTCAATATGTAGTCACGGTTCATTCAAATGATGGTAAAATTGACAATACTTAAAATTAGATATCAGTAACTGAAATTTGCTATAATAGACACTAGTAAAAAGTATAATCAACTCCAAAATACAAATTAAGCTTTTAAAAGCCAACATATGGTTGAACCACAGGGTAATCTCACATCCCAAAACTTCTACAAAGTGATCAGATAGCCAAAGGAATGAGTTTGAATTCCAGGTCTTCTACTTGAGCAAGACAGCTAACTTCCCTGGGCCTTGGTATCCTCATCTGCAAAATGGGAGGGTTGGACTAGGTATGTGGCCTCTCAGGGTCATTCCAGCTCTAAATCTATAAATCTAGGAGCAAGAGGTCTATCAGACTCACATTCTACTTGAGGAAAAATTCAATTCATACACATAAAGAACATGTGCATTTATTTCCTTTGAAAATTTATCTAGAGAATGATGCTTGGTATTATGTGCATCGATTCCTTATATGGCATCAAGAGCCAATGCGCAATAGGTAAATGGCCAAAAGAAATAACTTTTCAAAAGAACTGAAAACCATAAATGACCAAGTCTCAAGTTGCTAATAATATAAGAGAAATGCAAATCAAATAACTGCAGTTTCACCTGAAAGGTAACCCCCCAAAAAATCCCAAGCCCCAGTAACAGATAATGTTTGAGGGACGATGAGAAGACAGATCCAACTATGAGTGAAGCTGCTTAGTGGTCCAAACGTTCTGGATTTAATATGGAATTAATGAAAAGTGAGTAAAGTTTCAAGAAATCCCACTATTAAGAACATACTACAAGGAAATAAATGACAGAAAACAAAAATTCAATATATACAAAAATATTTACAGCAAGATTCTTTGTAGTAGCAACCAGCCAATCAAATCAAGCATTCAAGGTGGAACTGTGAGAAGGGGAAAGGAGACAAAGATGTGTATCTTTAGATATATTCAGATCTCTCTCTCTCTCACACACACACACGCACACACACACACGCACACGTGCATATATACATAATTTTCAGACCTAGAAGGGGTCTGAGAGATCATTTATTTCAACCTCTATATTTAATAGATGAAGAAACTGAGACTCAAAGAGAAAAAATGACTTGCGTCCAAAGTCATAGAGCTAGTATAATAAGACAAAGCTGGGATTTGAAACTAGATTCTCTGATTTCCAATCAATCAATCAACATGTATTAAGCACTTACTCTATGCTAAGCACTGTAAATAGGTGCTGGGAATATAGAGATAAAAAATAAACTACCTGTACCCAACGATCTAAATTCTAATGGGGACAATAATACATGTAACTATATATAAAATATGGATCAAAAAAAAGTTAATTGGGCATGGGAGGGCATTAGCATCTCTATGATACAGGGCAGAGTACCCTTTTTGGTATCATGGATCTCTGAGGCATTCTAGTGAAGCCTACCGACTCCACAGAATAATGTTATTTAATGAATAAAATACATAGAATTACAAAAGGAAACCTATTATATTGAAATACAGCTACCTATCTATCGATCTAAAAAGTTCATGAACCTTAGGTTAAGAAGCTCTGCTGTTAGATAGGACAGAGAGAACTTATTTTTTGTGAGCCTTTGATTATTAATATAAGGAAACACATGCTTGCCAAAGATATTTGCTGCTGTCATGCATGGAGAATGTCCAGAGCACAGTCTAAGTCAAAGTAAGATTCCTTATAGATAGACAGAGGTCTTCCAGATGTTCCAGATAGTATACTGGTTGCATCAAGCTGTGGAATACTGCCAAGTCTCCTAAACAAGAGGCTCTATAATCACTCAAAGAGTTTAGCCTAACTATCCGCATAGGAACAAACAAATAGATAAAGAATTTACTACTGTCCAGATTATAAGAAGTTCAACTGGATCTAGAGAACCAGTGTTCATTAGTGTGTGCTTACATGTGAATATATGTACACACGTACACACACACACACACACACACACACACACACACACACACACACATCCCTTGGGTAGACACCGCAGACAGAAAATGAAATGGAGGCAGGATTAAATGGAAGGATGAGAGTAGGCTAAATTGCATTTGGGAAAGTTTGCTTTTCCCTGAAAGAAAAATACATCTATTTAAACTAATATTCTCCAAGTAATTTTATATGGCTACAAAACATGGAATTCCACAATCTCTAAGAAATCAAAATCGTGAGTCACCCAAAGAGCAATGAAAAGACATATGGTAGGTATAAACCAGTTATTACCAATGATAACTTGCACATAAGAAGTGACATAAAAAATATCATTAAAGAGACATAGGACCAGAAAAAGGAGGTAAGCCAGTCATGTAGTGAGAGTAAGGGACAACAGATAGACAACTTGTGTGCTACTTTGGTACATATGCAATGTTAAGAGTTCCAGAATGTTGAGCGAACCTACCAAGGCTCATGAGAAAAGATGGACAAGAAGTGTACGGTGAAAGAAGGCATGAAAGATTTGTGATCTGCACAGTTGAAAGGGGGGCCCACATTGATGAAATCACATACTCATTGAAGTAAAAGAACACATGAAGATTCTGCAAGGCTTAAGAAAAACAAAGAAATCCCAGTTCTTGTTAACATTCCATTCTTAACACCATTCATTTTTACTAAATATAAAGCCTGTACTGACAACAATCCTAATTTTAGCTACAACTGATAGAAGCTATTTAAATCTTACCAATCGAGGCTCCAAAATAAGGTATATGAGTGTCTTAGCAACTAAGCAGGTGTTTTAGCACCCAACAATACCATTAAAGTACATAGCAGATGTTAGAAAGCTTTACAAAATGAAGCAACTTCGTGTTATGTGTGACATTGAAGCAAACTGTTTCGAACTTAGAAAAGAAAACAACACATCTACAGAGTAGTAGATTGGATTTCTGACTTTCCAAATGTAATCTAAATGAATATATGACTTCTTTCAAAGAAAAGACAAGTCTGAATACATTTTTGGTCTGATAGATGCCAGCCACTGTAAAGTTATCAACCACTGAGCTGTCTGTACCCCACCTCTTTAAATCTGAGCCACTAGACCATTACCTACAAGTTCAGATGCAAATACGGCCCCAGGTAGGAGAAATTCAGGGACACATTCATCCCAAGCTCAGTGATTCAGCGTTTTGTTCTAGACACAAACTGGACTAGTCCAATATAACCAAGCCCCCTTTACTCTGTATCCCTGCCTAATTGCCCTGTGGCCAAGCCCCTGATCTGATACCATCTTCTAGTAAGTAACCTTTAGAAGTGTTGTCTTACCTTGTTCTTGCTAGTCACACCAGCAATTGCAGTCTTCCCCCAGACTCCTGCCATAAGACAAGCTGGATATCATTCTCCATATGTTCCTCAATTCCACCCATACTTCTTTCATCTTAATGCAAAACCTTTTCAACATTTGCCTAGACTACACGAGCCTTTGAACAGCTCTCCCAGCCACTTGTTTCTTGTCTCTCTCATCTATCTTTCATATAGCTTACAAAGTGATCTTCTGCTAACCAGAAAAAATGTCACAAGTCCATGAGACTCCTAATGCAGAGTTCTGATGATGTCACTTCCTTGCTCACTTTAATGACTCCTTGCTGAAGTCAGCATAAAATAAAAACTCCTCAGACTGGCAGCCAAGATCCTCCACGATCTAGCTTTCCAGCTTTATTTCACATTACTCCTCTTAACACATTATGTTCCAGACCAAGTAGAATGCTAGCTACTCCCTGATCTCATTATTCACTCTCAAGCTCCTTTCATGCTTCCATGTTCTCCATGCGTTCCTATCACCCATGTTCTTTCTATATATCTATGTGGGGA